TGCTGAAGATAAGCGCGTTGCTGTTACAAACTACAGCACCTGGAGCATGATGGGATCAAATGAATTGACTGGATGTGTTAAGCCATATACAACTTTAGCATCTTCTGCCTCAAATGTCCCTGATGGAAGAAGAAAAAGAAAGAACAATCAAATTCACAAGTATACATATTTTTTTGCCACACTAACTAAACATGAGAGCTCAAGACCTTCTCTTTGCTTACCAAATATCCTGTCCCAGATAATGAGCGTGCCACCATAATTTTTGTCAATACAGTAAGGATTTCTACCTATAATAAAAATAAATTATGAAACCAGTAATTGCACATATAAGACTATGTACAACCAAAGTGTGAAGAGAAATCTCCATCGTTAGCATCAACTTATAGTCTAAAAATAACTTTAAAAGATAGCTAACCTTCTAGAACCTCCTCATGCATCTGTAAAATTTCTTTTTTCTTACTAGGCTTATCACTACCTTATTGTAAATTCAAATATACAGATCAACTATGTCAAAATTTCTGTGAAATAAAAGGATTCATTTGGAGACTAAATTCAGTTCATAATATATTTATAAAGACAAATTATGAATGAAAAAAATAATCATTTCACCAGTGCATATCTAAGAAAATAGATGCTAAATACATTTATCTGCAATCATCTCAGCAATGGCTTTCAGCTATCTCTATCTTCTACTCCATATGTCTGATCCTGCCCTCATTATTATTAACTTCAGTGTGAGGAAAACTGATCCTTCTGTTTTTTCTAGGGAATCTCTTCATAAATAAACTATCCTAACAAAAGTATGAGATTAGAGATTTTCTGGAGTGACTGTTCAACACTGGATCAGCTCAGGAGTGATTCTGCTTAACTCCAGTCAGGATCAGAGGAGGTTTAGTTTGAATTTACAGCAGAGCAAATAAGAGCAGAGCATCTCCCTCCAGGATTACCAGTACTAGTGCAAATTTTAAGGACTAGACATGTAACAGCACCACAGTCTTTTTAAGAAGTCTACACAGTGCCATAAACACCTTACACATGTAGGATATAATAAATATTAATAACCTCCTCTGTACATATAACTGCACTTAAGTCTGTTTCAAATTATTTTGTGCTTCCATTCCCGTACTACTTTTTTACTTGTTATCTCTGCACACTGAATGAGCCAAGGGTGTCTACGAAATCTGCTTCTACTCCTCCGACATTTTTCAGTATGCAGTGGAGTTATTAATCCAATTTACATGTGCAGAGCAGTCTTGAATGCCTCTGAATATTGATGAAAAGTCAGTCATCATGGACTTGTGTGAAGTGAGATTTCTGAATAATTCAGACAGCTGAAACCAAATTCCACTAAAACATTTAACAGTTCTTCTTCTAAAAGGTAATCGTGTCTTTTTGCACATTCAGTGCTTGAATATGAATGCAAGAGCATCTGTTACTGATTGACAAGTTGATGGTATTTTAGTAGTTAGGAAAGGATGAGATATTTTTCTATTACTCTTCATATTTACAAATGTTGAGTTGTTTTGCTCGAAGTCTTCAAATTATTTCACATAATCAAGGCTTTATTTCCGGTCAATAATTAGTCTTAAGTGTAAAAATTTTAAATTAAAGTTACAAAAAAGTTTTTAAAAATGGTGTAAAAGAATTGAACAAGGACTATTTCCAAAGCAATGATAAAAATTAAAATCTTTCGGTACAACTAATTTTACAGTACAATTTCAGTACTTCAGCATTATTGTAGAAACGGTGACCATGAGAAAAAAACACACTGACAAAAAATGAAGTTACATTTTTCACTTACCATGATGAACTCTGTGATGACTGGGAGTATTAAGAATCCACTCCAGAGGCCCAAGATTGGTGATAACCTTAAAAAAAATAAAAATGTTTCAATGAATTTGAAAACGTACAAAATCAAGGACAGAAAATGAAAGAACGGGAGGAAATGCATTAGGAGGATGTTTATCTTAAGAGGAATTGCACAAAAAGACAAGAATGCAAGACATTTCCTAAGATATTTCTGTATTGCCATCACAAGAATTTTCATGAAATAAGTGAAATTTAGAAAAATGCAAGTTAAGAATAAAATTTCTTTTTGATCCAGCAGCACATTTTCTTATTCATGATTTCATACAGATCATTTCGCTCACATCTTTTACACGTGCCCATTGGCACTGCTTGAGATCCAGTGCAACTCTAAAATCCCAGTTGTGTGAACACTTGACATCAGCAAATCGCTGAGACTGTCCCAGAAACGAGGACTCCTAACACCTTCGGTACCTTTGACTGCTTGTTCCTTCTATTAATACCTTCTTTTAGGCTGGCACAAAGTGGCAACACAACAAACTTGTTTAGGGAACTGAGGCAAGTTGAAACTAACTTTGTTCTGTTTTTCTAAATTACTTTGTCTAGATCAGTTCCTGAATCTGATCCAACAAATGGTCACAAATACATAAGCATGAGTCAGAGACATGGAAAGAATGTAGACTAGCATAAATTCATAGTGCAACTGCGATCTAACACAATGATTCAAAAGCACAGAAAATCCAGTCTTGATCAATTTAGCACCAGACCAAAAATGACAGAAAGTGTCAATTGCCATAGAGTCACCCTAATGACTCAAGCTTTGTCAGAAAATGCTGATGAGTTAAGTATCTATCAACAGGGTTCACGCTACATTAGGTATTCTCCTATATTAGGAAGCCAGAGGAAAAGTAGCATTAATTTTACATTTTGGGGTTTGCTTAGCTCAACAGAAGCGTGTGGATACCCAAACAGAGCAACCATTGCTTAATCTCAAACACAAAACCATCAGTCGCAAATAGATCCAATCACTGGATGACTAAAAAGGATTTCTGTATGTCCTAATATGGTATCTACTCATCATATCAGACTATGACCACAATGTCCTGCAATTAAAAGTGAGGGAGTGAAGAAAGAAGCTAAACAAAAATGCTTAGACCTTAAGAAACAAACCCCAGAATCTCCCACTTTGTCTTTACAGAACTTAATTAGCAATTAATTAGTACTCACACTGCCGAAAAACATCATCTGTGATATAATTACAGAGATAGTATCAGCAAACAACACATTAGAGTGGCAGACAGCCATTACTTACAAAAGCAGGCTCATTCCCCTAAATAACTAAACATACAAGGATTTTTATTCATTTAGGGTTTACAGAACCAAGTCCTAATATATACCAGTTCCATTTCTGTTCAGTTCACATGTGTGCAAGTTAAAGTAGATCACAGCTCAAAAAGTAGACAGGGACACTCTTCAGATGTATTTAAAGTTTTATGAATCAGGCAAATATCACCATAAAAGGAACAAATACCTTTTGTTCACTTTTGTCTTTAATAACACCTAAAAACTTCTACTTAATAAGTACAGTATTTCTGTAATTAAAGGATTACTGAAATAAATAAATTATTCAGATAGAGAGAACTGTAACATTTAGAGCATCTGTCTCAAAATTCTGCACATACTTGACTGGAAAAGTAGGATACTGGGACAACTCACAAGCCAAGGACAACATAAGTAGGATCATTTGTAGTTCTCAGCTCTCCTTCAAAATAAGTTCAAGCCTGCAAAGACCACCTAAAGGTGAGAAACGATTCATCATTCACGCTAGCTCCATTTCCTGCCTTCCTCAAGCAGAAAAGCCAACTGTTTTAAACTATGTGACATGTAACCACTATATTAATTTAATCCGAGTCAAATGTCTTGGATTGAACCACAGGCCAGCACCTAAAAAGGCAGTGATTTATCTATTAGACCACACCTAGCTTTGATCCACTTAGTTTTAATATATTTTCAGCTCCATATTTTAGCAAATTTTTGTGAAAATAAACTAAATTTGCTCTAGGAGAGCAGGGAATCACTAAGGAATAACAGCCTTCACTTTTAGCCAGCAGGTGGATTATCATAAAATCTCCTCAGAATGAATGCCTTCAAGTCTTCAATATCCAGCTGATTAAATTCATATTTTAAAATTAAAATTCACCCTTTTGAAAGTCCATATAATACACTGATATGCTAAAGCAGAAGCTTGTGTCCTGGGGTTCCCCAAGGACCTCAGGAACTTACATAAAATTTTAAAGAGGTACTTCTGACTAATCCTAGAAAAAGTATTTTCCTTGGAAAGCAAAATCTCTCTCATCCTCTAAAATAGTCCTTCTTTGGGTGATGACATTTACAAATCTACTGAAACATCTTCTCTGCAGCATCATTAGTGATTGATGTCCGAGTCTACTTCGATTCATTATTCAGCCAAGGTTACCTCCATCGTAAAGACTAGACACACGCTGATGGAAACATCGTCTGAGACAACAATTATATATAACCACATGACTTTTAAGCTCAGAGGTGGCGCAGAAATCTGTACTTGACGAAGCAAAAAATCCAGCATGCTGAAATTAGCAATTCATAAATCAACACCTTGGCTAAAACACATAAAAAATATTTTTTTCACCAGGTATTCAAAATGGTACAGGCTGCTACTTCCAGAAACTTCCTTTGTTATCAGTAGGTTTATTTCAATATATAGCATAATTCTAAACCAGAAAAAAAACTGTTTTAAGTGAAAAACTTCTGGTGCAAAGAAATTATAAATATTTTATAAATGTATATTTTTCTTCTAGCTCAGTCAGTTGAGTGTGGCGCTAACAACACCAAGGTCATGGGTTCGATTCCCATTCGGTCCCCATGAGTTGCCTGATCTAGTCGCGAAGTGGCATCCCTGGCAACAGGGAGGCTGGAATAAAATGATCTCTAAGGTCCTTTCCAGCCTAGGCCATTCTATGATTCTATGATTCTAAATATATCCATATATCATTTCAACACACAGAAACATACCACCTCTGAATTTTCAAGGGCCTGCAGCACCACACGGCACAGAACACAATTTTTACGTTGAATTTTGTTGAGTTTTTCTACATTCTGCAATCTCATCAGTAGCAAAACCACAAGCACGTTTTTCACCCATGTAATCCGTCAAGGCTAGGACACTAAGACAATTTTTGCCAGGCAAAATTCTGACCCTGTCACATTGGACTGACAAGAACTTACTGCAATCACAGTTAAAGGAAGGAAGTTTGTAGGAACTGACTTATATACAAAATTTAATGTGGGGCAATGACAGCCCATGTTCAAAAGAATGTCTAACAGGCAAGAGAGAGGAGAAATGCAGTGGCAGGTACCCCACCTACCCACCTACCTTTCAGTTGTCAGTCTACCCTCATTTTTGTTCCGTCACTGTCCAGAATTTTTCCTTGAAAAATGGCAATTCCAAAGGAGCTCATAAGTGTCCACAGGAGGAGTAAAAGGCTTACATTGCAGCTGCAACCAGTCACCACAGCACGTACACCACTAGGTCCCAGTCATTCGACAACATAACATTTTCAGCATAAAATACCTTTGTATTCAAAATGGCTTTTTTAGAATAAGATCTTTCACAATGTTCACATTGCAGGAAAAAAAAGTCTAAATGAAATTTTAAAAAATTAACAAAATAAATGTGATAAGAATATCAGAATAGCTCAGTTTCAGGGCCTGTGATCAGGATTTTCATTTAAAAAAAACCAATAACCGTTTTGCTGCTTTAATTTTTGTGTGTGGTAGAAAGTTTTGTTTCAGACTCTTTTACTGATATGTAGTTTCAAACTTGAAAAACAAAGGGGAAATGTCATTATTCACCATCCTTATGGACTTTACTTCAAACCCTCTTCTTTCAGACTTTCGAAAGGAAAAAGAGTGTGCCTGTGAATATAAAAATATTCTTGTTTTTTATATCATTATCTTGCATGGATTTTGGGAATACATTAAAAATAGCTACCAATCCCCTAGTAGTTAAAATACTCCAACGATTACCTATATTATGAACAATATGGCTGGGGGCTTACATTTCTGTTGGTTTCCCTCGTGCAGACACCTACTGCTCTAAATCAATTCCTGCTTCAAATTTTTCCTCTCTCAATTAACACATCATGTGCGCCTCAACTCTCATGCCAGCGACCCACAGATGAACAACAGCATTCCGAGCAAAACTCTTCTCCTGTTTGCTTTGTTTATTTTTTAACATCCCATAGCCACAAAAATAGTATTTCATTTGACAAAACCCTTACAAATGGACTAAACTACCTACATAGCAGATACGTAGGGATCTTCTGTATACCAGTTATAAAAGCTTTGTCAGATCTCTCCACAAAATAGGTACTCTTCTTTTTTCTCTTTTTTTTTAAACAACATATTTCCTCCGTTGGACTTGGATATCACTCAATAATAATGCAGAATTACTGACAATAACTGAAGCAATTCCAAGAGAGCAGTTTAACAAATAAGGCAGTCTAAAAGCTACATGTTTAGAAACACTTTCCATACGTTATCAAGTAAAACATGCTGGAAGTGAAACCTTCATGCACAATGAAAACTAAATGTTTTTTTTTTCTCTAATAGGACTTCTTCTATAAAGATGTTTCCTTTGTGACAGCAACCCCTAGCCTAAAGGAAAAGAACATTATGCAATATCTCTTGCGGCATGTAAGCACCTCCGCTTGCGGTTTTGGAGTTTGTCAGCACCAAGGGAAATCTTTATTGCCTGGTACCTGCACCACTTCAATGCAGTTCTTGTTTAAATAATGAGAAAAAATCGTGACATGAAATCCAAGGGAAACTTTACATCTTGTGTAACAACTCCTCCTGTCACCACTACAACATGAATCTTTACTTAACTCTGTTTCAACATGAACGTTAGGAAGGAATGTGGACTGAGCAGAGCAGGCGATGTTACGGTAAAGCCATTCGTATATAAAAAGTTCTGGGTTGCTTTTTTTTTTTTCTTTAATAAAAGCTGTTTGTAGCAGAACGT